GAACAATGGTGAAAATGTCTTCTGCGCAAGCGAGGAAGAACAGTTGTTTCTCGAGGAAGAAGAAAATGAAATATTGTAGGTTAAGTTCTTTTGATGAGAGGTAAGCAATACTACCTCGTTTCTAATATCAACCGAAACAATACACACATATATGCCTCAGTTCTACCCACCACCGACACATATAGTCCTCAGAAAAAAATAAAAATATGATATGGTATTTTTCAATTATTTTCAAATTATACGCCTCGGTTCCCGCCTAAACTGAGGCATAAACATGGTTTTGCACCGGTTCTGAACGAATCGAAGCCATATGCTCTGCGTAGACTTCAAATTTTAGACCTGTCAAGAAGAAAGGTGGGCTTTTAGGCATCGATTTTACTATCAACTAAGGTAACACTAGTAAAAAAACTAGATTTGAAATCGCACAATAGGCTTCGGTTAAGGCAGAACCGAAATCTATAAAAAGATGGTGGCTTTTTCGTAGTTTAAATTAACTTTTCTGATCCGGTTTAAGAAAAATCGAGGCATATAAATAATATGACCTCGGTTCAATTCCCCACCCGATGCCTAATACCCTAATAATGCTTCGATCCACTGAGACCCGAGGCAATATACATATCTTTCAATTACCCCTCGCGCATTTCACCCTCACATAACCCTCATCCAACAGCGCCCCCACCCTTCTCCTCCTCCCTAAACCCTAACGACTCCCACCCTTGGCCGTTGCGTCAAGTCCACGACAATGGCATCTCCTCCACCTCCCCCAGATCCCTCAAAACCCCCTCATCATTCGCCCACAACTACCGGATCTCCATCACCCTAATTCCATCGCCTTATTCCTTGTCGTCCTCGGTGGCACCCCGGTCGTTGCCATCCTCGACGCCCTCAGCCTCAAGCCCGCCGCCTTCTTTGCCGTGTGGTTCTCCCTTATCTTCGCCCAGGTCGCCTTCTTCCTCTCCGCCTGGTCCTCCCTCTTCGCCGCCTTCAACTCCTCCGTCGCCGTGGCTGCCATCACCTCTTTCACCTTTCTTCTTGGCGTCTGGTCCTCTCTCCAGTTCAAGTGGCTCCTGCTCGAAAACCCTTCCATCGCGGTTGCCCTCGAGCGTCTGCTCTTCGCTTGCCTCCCCGTCTCCGCCGCGATGGAGGGTTTTGTTTGGGGATTTTTGGCCAATTTTCTGCAAGACATTGCTCTGTGCCCATCCCCAATTTTCTGGCCCCTCCATGCTGCCACAGCTCTCACTCCAAGACATTGCTTTGTGCCACACTGACGGTGGCTTCAGCTGCTCTAGATGCGGTGGAGGCGTCGAGGTTGGAGCCTGAAGTGGAGAAGAGAGATGGTTACTAGGTTTTGAAGGAAGAGTACAAGGGAGAATCGGCCCTCAAGAAAAGTTGAAGCTTGAGAGAGATCCCATGAAGATGTTCATGGAAGGTGGGATTGAGGATCTAGCTAAGATGTCCCTTGAGGAAATTGAGAGCTCCAAGCACATTAAGGATGATATTGATGTTAGACTCAAGTGGCTTGGCCTTTTTCGTAGGAGAAAGCATCACTGTAAGTTTGACCTTTTCAACTTCCTTTTTCTTTGATTAGTGGAAACAAAGAGTGTCATTGGTTTTGCAATTAATTTCAAACTCTGGTGAATTAATTTCTGTTTGTGTCATTCTGTTTGCTCACTGGAAATTAGGAGAAAGCATCACTGTAAATTAATTTCATTTCAAACTTTGTTGAAGAACAAAATTTATTATTTTGTACATTTTGTTTGTGTCATTGGTTTTGCAATTACATGTGTGGAAATAGAGTAAGATGATACTTGCTTATTTCCCTGGAAATTTTGGAGGTCTTACATTCTATGAAACTTTTGTCACTCGTTCTTCTTCTCATGAATACAGTATCAAGTAATAATTTTTTGTCCATGTTTAGGTTAATCTTGAAGAACTTGAAGCTGACCTCCTTGAGATTAATGCAAATAATGAGAAATTGAAACACACCTACAATGAGCTATCAGAGTATAAGCTTGTTCAAGAGAAGGTATGTTTTGCTAAGTTCTTTCACTACCACAAATGTCATAATCACTTCTGATAATTTGGTTAACTTTGTTGTTCATCTTTCTGGTGTTTAAACTCTATTTAGAATGTATAAGTGTTACCTTTTGCATACTGTTAGTCCTTATTCTTGGGTTTGTTTTCTTTTCTTTCCCTGACTGGATAAGAAAACTGCAATCAAAGTGGTAATGGCTTTTTCTCATTTATCATTTCAGGTTGAAGTAATGTCGTAGCTCAACAAAGAAAGCTTGAAGTCCAGATAATTGTCGAGCTCTGTTTTACTTTCATAATAATATGTTGCTTTCATTTCAACTGTACAAATTCACTTCACCGTGGAATCAAATTTAGTATAATTTAATTGACAATTACATTTTCTTTATTGTATTGGTGAATGTTGCTCTTGATGGTGTTACATTTGTTGGGATTTTGTCTGGTTGTACGCATATGGGGTTAGTGAGAGATGGGTTTCTGCATTTCCAATCGATGGTTGGTAATTACTCAATTGTGCCTCAGATTGAGCATTATGGTTGTATGATGGATTTGTTGGGAAGAGTTATTGCCTCAGTTCAACTTCAAACCGAGGCATAATCCCTACTGCCTCGGTTCATCAACAGTCAAGGCCAAAAGTCTGACGAAAAAAATAGTAAAAAAAGGAACACACTTTACTGTCTCGCTTGCATTTGAACCGAAACTAAAACATACATTTTTTTGTCTCGGTCCTGAACCGAGGCAAAAAGTCACTTTTTGCCTCGCTTGTATATACCTCGGTTGCAGAACCGATGCATATAAACGAAAATAACCGCTGTCTTTTCCCTTTATTGCACTGGTGTAATATGCCTTATATGCTTCGGGTCCCCTTGAACCGAGACGTATAAGTTCGCCTAAATTACAAAAATGTCACCGAGTTTTGATAGGCTTCGGTTTCTCCTAAACCGAAGCCTATAGGACGAGTTAAAAAGCAGTTTTTTTACTAGTGCTAGGTGCAACCTCGACACCAGCTTGAACTTCAACCCCACCACACCAACAGTCCCACCACATCCAGGTGAAGAATAAGAGGCCAAGAGAAAAGCAAAAGTCAAAACAGAAACCAAGAAGCATGATTGCGGCCCTGTCGTGTGGCTCGGCACTCGTGGTTGTCGGATTGTGCATGTGCATTGTGTGGCCCTTGTAAGAAATTCCCAGATAGATCTAGAACCTCCTAATTTTAATCCCAATTAAAATTTCAATGAACCCTAATTTTAAAATCTTTCAGAAACCCCAATTTTTAAAATGTTTCTTTTATAAAATGCCACGTATAAGGGTTTCTTTTATAAAATGCCACTATGCAAGCCACGTTTCAACAACTATCTACGTCAACATCACAGGTCATCAAAGACTTAACTCCGTTAAGTCAATTTAACGGCAAGGGCCCAATTCAGTCAATTTTTCAATATAAAGGACCAAATTAGCGAAACCTATAAGACGAGATCTAACTGAAAAAACTCCACATAAATAAGGACTTCCGAAGGGGTTTAACCAAAAGAAAAATGGAGACATCTTGATCCCTTAGAGAAAGAGTATGACTTGAACTTGCAAGATGAACAAGTGTATTAAAGAGGTTTGTCTCAATTCTACAAGAACAAACACTACTATGTGTGAGACATTATATGACAGGTCTATTAAGACAAAATTGTCTATACATCTGAAATTTCTTATGTTTTGAAGTTTAATCAAATAACATTAAACAAAATAATAAATTGGAAATAACATAGGAAGAAAACATAAAAATTAGAACCAAAATCCCCAACATAGAAAAGCTTAGGAAAACATTTAGGATTTTAGGAAATAGAAAAAAAACTAAGTCAAAACACCTAGACGTAATGCTAAACAATTGTTAAGTCAAAAGTTACTAAGAGAGTTAAAGCTAAAACGCGTAAAGCTTATTATACCTAAAGGGTATTCAGTTTAACTCTTGGGATAACGAAAGTCATGTCATTGACGAAAACACTCCAAAAGACTAAAACCTAAAACATCAAAGAAAACACAAACAATGCTAAATGTCGTCTATCTAAGAAGGCAATATCACAAGGATCGTTTACTCAACCTAAACGATACCATGAACTAAACTATTAATTTGTCTAACGGTGAAGTTTTTACTCAACACTTGGTATCTTAAGAAGAAAAACTTAATTGTTAAACGTTACCTCAACTGTAGGAAATCAAAAAACACTTTGTTGTTCTGAACAAACATTAAATAACATTAAATGTTCAACGTTAAAAAACAACATGTGGTGGACTAGGCCAGACGACCAGTTTTGACAGCACTACTTCAATATAAACATTCATCTCACTCTCCAAACACATTCTCATTCATCATTTCAACCATCCGCATCCAGACACATGATTTCCATGGAAGCAATTTCAATATTCATAAGGTGGATTTCCATCATTTGACACCAAAACTTGTTCCTTCATATTTTTGGGTCATGTTCCATCATTGATGTCAATTTTGCATATTAATGTGTTTGTCCTCTTCTATCATTTAGTATTCCACTTTCCATCATTTGGAATTTGAGCAAGTCACTCTTCCATCACATATGACATGCTTTCATTAAATTCACGACACAAATATCGAATCTTTTAAAAGGACGTTGAAGCAACACCCAAATTTGTAATTTGTTTAAGATGAAAAAAAAACACTCCACTCCACTTCCTACTCCCAGGCACCCTATACTCCTATGAGTTGAACCTAGCAAAATTGTTATGTATTTTAAAATAAATTCATATCTATGCACGTCCATATCAAAGTTTCATACATGCGAAATTACATTAAACTTCTTTCATAAAAGGTGAATAATATTAAGAATATATATAAAGTATATCAGTTTTGGAGTTACATTCAATACAACTTTCTCATCTAAATTTATTTATGTGTACATATTATTCTATCTAAAAGAATATGACTATTATTAGGTGCCTCAAGCACTGTAAAGACTTTCTAAATTAAGTAATAAAAGCAATTAACCTCTGTTCGAAGATGAAGTTACCAAAGCCCTTACAGAAATAAATAAATGTAGAAACTGGAGCATTCCTAGCCATCAAAATCCATATCGCTCCCATAAACTTGATCAAATAGAAAAGATTCAGTGGAGGATGGCATAGACTGCACAGTGTCATGCCTCAAACAATTGAAATCAAGTTCATAGTCACTTAACAGATTGTAATCTGAAGAGGGTAATTGGTTGTGTATACCACAGTCATCCGGAATCACTTCCATAGGCTCCTGTTTCGTGGATGAAAAAACTGATGATAAAAACTGGTATTTTTCTTTGGTCGGGAAGGTGGTACTGAAGCTAAGGAACATACAAGAGTCAGAAGAAGAAGCTGGTTCCAACATTATTTCTGGACTTTTGCAATTGTGATGACCATAATAAGTTGTTCGGTACAATGGAGGGTTCTCTTGAATCCTTTGAACCTGTTTGGTTGCTGGACAACCCTGATCATACTTGTGAGTGCATCTGTAGTAGGTCCTACACATATAGATTACCAGAATTGAATTATATTGGATAAGTATATATAAGATCATAAGAGAAAACCTATATAGAGAGAAAGGGAATTTTTGTTGCTTGAAATTGAAGAATATATATATACCTGAGGTATTTTGCATTGATGGTCATTTTCTGTCCATACTTTCTCCATATATAGCCATCTTCAATCAGGTGTGAGCTGTTCTTCTCCCATGTTGGTGCACTTGATGTCACAAGGGGGAAAATTCCAATGATTAAAGAGATTATTTACCTACTCAACTAATCCTGAAATCTAATGTATAACTACAAATATTTAGGCAATCAATTGCAAGGTATATAACAATTAACCAGTACAATCATTGTCATTCTATCTGTTAACACTGTAATGAAGCAAATTGTGATTATAACTAAAGGTTTAGTCTCGGTTAATTTTACTGGGAAAGTATCTTCTTTGCACTGTATATATATACAACTAGTACAGCATATCCTTTGATAGAACTTAGGAACAAATCTTTCACAGCACTGAGCTCATTTGAAGGACTATATTAAGGAAACACGTTATCTTCTAAAGAAATATTAACAGTAAATAAGTCCAGGAAATATTTTCAACAAAATATACAGTTAATATTAATAAAACTGAGAGAAAGAACAAGCTTTGGAAATTAATTTCAAAACTGAAACCATATATAGATAGAGTGGGCCAAAACAATTAGAATATTTTAAAATAAAAGTAACTTTATGATATTCAAGCTACAAAATTTAACATAACCTCTAAATTAAATTAGGTAGAAAAAGGATGCATGATTATTGAGATCAGCTACAGAGAAGTTTAGATCTAAAGAGACGATGCAATGAATTTGAGAACTCTATCTCCAACGAGAAATAAAATCCCACTTTGATTAGGCAAAAGCGATATATATCTTTCTAAACATAAAATGATAACAGAACTAATTAAACGATCCAATTAAGAAAATTAACAACAATCATCGCAAATAATTTGCTAATCAGACCTAAATGATATGTTCTTACTTTCTTTTGTGGGATATTCTTCGTCTTTTAGCATTGATGGAACTCTTGCAAACCCCATCCTTATCCTCAAGATTAGGGCATATGAGGGACGAAGAGACATCATTGACAGTGACAGGCATAACAAGAGCATCGGAAACATCACTTTGAGTGCTCAACAGCAAAAGGGTATTTGAGAACGATCTGAGTACCTTGCGAGCAAGATCCTCAGCAGATGGTAGCACTAACCCTTCTACTTCTGCATCTGTATGACTAGTGTTGGATTTATGAACAAGTATTTCAAGTAACTGGTTTGCTGTGTCACGCCCTTTGTTGAGCTCTTCTTCCATTGCTTTTCTTCCATTCGAAGCCTGATTCTCCATTGCTGATATATGAAATGGAGTACAGATTGGAGACACAAACACTGTCTTTTATTGAAAACAGCAATGCCCCCACTAGCAAATTTAAAATTGTTTGCTCTTCAGACTCCAGACAAAAACATCCCTGGCAGTATGAGCTCTTATTCTGACATCACAAGGGGCAACCTTGACCTTTCGGTTTTATGCATTCTGGAGCTGTGGGAGGGAATCATAGGATTCTATCCAGAAGTACATTAGGTTGGAAAAATTTATGATTGGTTGTTGCAAGGAACGGATTATAGTTTATAATTTCTTCTGTAGTTAAGTTCATCTGTTTTAATGGATTAACAAGGTTCTAAGCTAATATTATATATAGAGACAAATTCTCTTGTCCTTTAATGTTTATATTAGTGCACTAATTCATTGACTTGTATCTCAATTGGTTCTTTGTGTAAGGGTTAGAGTATTATTTATTGAAATTGGTGTGACAATAAAACCTCTGAATATGCGAATATCTCCCCTTTCTCTAAAATTAAGCTCCAACAATGTTTGTCAATGGGAAAACCTCCCAATCGAAGGGATTGATAATGTTACATACTCACATTTTAGCATTTTCAAATTTTAACTTTGCTCCACTCTATAAATTGTACTCACTGAATTTACTGATCGAAATGAGAAACTCTGCGTCACTTTTTCCATTCTTTTCTCACTGTGATTTATGTAAAAAATCACTCCTTTGTGACAGTTATTAATTACTGCGTCTTCATTGCTCAGAAAAAAGAGAAAAAATTTCCTATATCTTTCTGTTATTCATGTATATGGCTCAATTGAGTGCCAGTAGATAATGCCCAGTAACATAAATTTCTCAATTACTATAATTATAGAGGATTTAAACTCCAGTAAATTAAACGATTTGCATGCATCGAATGCAATTTGTTTGTAGTCATACTGCATGCAGCCAACATTTGATGATCTTACGTTTTCTATTTACAAGGATGGAACTAATTAATTAGCTACTGTCCAAGGAGAAGGCAAAAGATATATCTATAACATACCTAATAAGTTTTTTTTTTTTTTGTGATGTCTTGATTCTGAAATACGTTAGTTTTTTCTCCAAACTACCTTAACTTTACCTTTAGCAGGGATTCAAACACAAGAAATTACTAATCCATTTATCTTGGAATTATATTAACTCTAATTACCTGGCTGAGGCGAAATTGTACATGTGAATACAGCATTAATTATCTATTCTGGTTTAGGTTCACTTATATAATTCTGGAGATTAATTTTCCTTTGATACTATATTGTACTCTTGGATAGGAATTGACACACCTTATTTTAGCCCTTCTGAAAAAGTTTACTTAGCCTTTGCCTATATTAATTATACATGGAAACTCCAATTAGTTAATCTGATAAGTACTTAAAACTCATATAGGTGGACTTATAAAAAATAATATAGAACTCAAGTTTAGCTTTAAATGAGGTAAATTTAAAATTTGGGCACTAGTTGTCTAACATTGAGTTTGATTCCTTAACTACTCAATATATTTGTTTTGCATTAAACAAACCTATTATTTATATGTTTTAAATTTTGTAATTTGATGTTTGATAAAAATTTATACGAAGGAAAATTTAAATGATATTCAAATATAAATTATGCGGTGACAACTTTTTTTATATGAAATTAGAATTTATTAAGTAAATTTTATAACTGAACTTAAATTTATGTTATCATTGTCTGCATAAGTATTTCATTACCTTTAAAGATAAAGAAAAAGTAAATTTTACTTATTCATATAATCCACGTCAAAAAGGTTGTTTGTTGCGAAAGATTGACAAAGCTTATTAGCACTTAACAATACGCAAGTCAACTCATTTACAACTTCTTCATTGACTTCTACAATTGGGATATTACATATTGAATCATATTGAAAATGTCAACTTTTTTAATTCTTATAATAGATTTCAGACTTTCTAGAATAAAACATAATAATAATAATAATAATAATAATAATAATAATAATAATAAAAGGTCTTGCTAACAGCTGGTATGCAAATACCAAATTAATAAAAAGAAAAATTAATCATATATATATATATATATATATATATATATATATATATATATATATATATATATATATATATATATATATATATATATATATATATGTATAAAGAGCTAAATTTTTTGAATCTCTCAATTTAGAACCATATTCATAGAGATGATGATTCATGCATCATATCTCATGTTCTTTCTTGGATAAAATATAGTTGAAAAAAATGATAAAACCTAGTTAATTTAATTAGCATTACTCACAACCATGTAATTGAAACCATAATCAACATGCATGTTGTCGTTGAGTTTGGTGCATTCATTTGATATCATATTTGATAAGGAAGTTATAAAGGGTACTCTAACCTGAATACAAGATGACATATTAAAGGAATAAACAAGATAAAGAACAAAATAATCGTAAAAGAAAAAGTGATGTTTGAGCACATTTTCTCCTATTTCTTTAAGCCTATTTCCTCTTCTATTTTTCCCTTCAATTTCCTCACTTTGGATAATGGAAACTTTTATTTTTCGGTTTTTAATGTTAGCTTTTGTGTGGGATATTTTTTTACATTACAACTAAGTATATCTGCTACGTAGAATCTGTGTTATGAACAATTTGTAGAATATAATCTTTGTGGGAGAGTCATACTTCAATGTGATTAAACCTACTTACCAACAAGTATATATATCTTACAAAAAATAGTTATAAAGTGAAAAGAAAAACAATTCCGAAAGGGTCAATTAATTATACGTTGGATTAGCTCATTCATGCATCAACCGAGGCAAAAGTTTAGTTGCAGAAGCAAAAAGCAGAGTTGATATCTACAGTATGAGACTCAGTTATGTGGTAATGCTAACTAGCAAACAGATAAACTAGTTAAAAATGGACAAAGTTGATTCAGCTGACATAGAAAGGTTCCATGATTTGAATAGTTCTTTTAATATACTATTTTCAATATAATGGCCAATATCAGTTAAACACAAACTTAAAAAAGTGTTTCCTAAAAGATGTCTTTGCCAGTTATTTTATTAAGCAAGATGACAGTGGTGGTTAGCATCTCTTAATGATGAGAGGAAGTGAATGGAAACTATACCTAAAATCAGGAGATGAGCATGGCAGTTACTACATTAGCTGAACTTGTCTAAATTAGCCTAGTGTAACCATTAAGATGAGCTAGGTCATTATAAATTAGGTAATAAAAGTTCAAATCACTTTTTAGACAGTACTAAATAGAAAAATATGGTAATACAGATCTATAGTTAGGTACATAAACAGGCCTTAGTTTTCAAAAATACACAACCCAGAATCTGTAAAACAATTGCTGCATCAAAAATCACAAGAACATTGTATAATAATATTATGTTCAGAAAATTTTGTTTCATTTTTATTCCTCTACTAATATCTCGTCAAGGGAACTAGTCAAGACTTCATCTAAAAATAAAATAAAACAGAGAAGAAGAAATTGTACATTATGTAAAATAAACTAAACTTATGGAGGGTTATCTATTATAACTCAAAATAAAACAAATATGTTGTCTTACATATACCATATTAATAACTACTCGAGCAGCAGTTCTCCTTATACCTCTACTTTTTCGTCCTAGACCTTTAAAATTCTTATATTGTCCTTTTTATTAATAATTATTGACTTTCGAACGCCGATTAACACTTTACCAGTTTTCGAACATCGGTTAACATTTTACTGGCGTTCGAATGCAGGTTAACATTTTTATTTTTAATTTATTTTGACGATTATGATAGGCATAGGCACGATGTAAAAGTGGTTGAGGACACACCTGTGCATCGTTGGTTTAAGAATTCTTTAGAAGATGAAAAAATGGATATTTGGGTTAATAGCTATCACCATCAAGGGGGTGAAGAGAATGGCCCAACGTTTTGTTTCAATGGCCTTTGCACCTGATGGTTTGATTGAAGGGTTTTATGACCCTAATACTTATAATCCAGAGAGGGTAAGTTCATTATGGGATTGCCATTTCACCCTGAGCGTATGATGAAGACTGATTCGGATGATTTTGTATGGTATGGAGGATAGGCCAAACAATTAACATTCATGACCGTTCGGTCTATTCCTTGTGTTAAAGGTCAGGCAGACAAATGTTGGGTCAGCACTTAAGTTATTGGTGTTAGGCCAATGCTTAAGTTGTTCATGTTGGGCCATAATTGAGCCAACATTAAAGATATTGTTATTGGACCAATGGTTTGGGCAAATAAACAATTAATAAATTAATAACAGAATGATTAAAGATATTGATAACTGATTGTAGGATAAGAAAATTCTTTATGAGTAACAGACCGAACTTAAAGGTAAGTTCGTATTATTGGACCTATGCCAGTCTAGAGTCCATGAAATAACTTATAAATAGGAGGTTAAGCCACAAAGGCAAGCAGGTTGAACTAATTCTGAGTACTCACTTTCTATTAAATATTATCACGCAAAGTCACTAACTTGAGAGTCAGAGTGCCTTTTGCAGGTACCCTCCCACTCGGCTCGAACTAGAAGAATTTGAAGTAGGAGGTTCAGAGGTCAGAGAGTAAGGAAGGTGACAACAGAAAGGTGTGTCTCTCGGTCATATTAATTATATACAAAAACATTTTGACGCCCACCGAGGGCCCATAGTAAGCAGAAGAAACCCAATGGTGACCATAAGAAACATAGAAGAACAATAAAGTACGAGGGAGTTGATCAAAGATATGCAAGCCTAAATGCAAACACAACTATTGGAGATGTAGAGGAAGTACGAGGAGGAGATTACGGCGTTAAGGGCGGAGAATGTTGTTCGTCGTGAACAACTCGTTTAGCATTCGGCGTCAGCAGCTTCGTCGGCCCAAAGGAATCGCGATCGGGAGGAACGTTCCAGCGTGGCCAGTCATAACCAGCCAACATCCCACCTCGTCAATCCGGACAGTCGAGATGGAAGGAAAGTAAACAATAAGGCCATACCTACAGCAATACCTCTGCAAATAGTTTCAAAAGGTTTACTTCCCTTCACGACAACTATTATGGAAACTCCTATGCCGGAGAAGCCTCCTCCTATGTTAGATAAGTATGATGGTTCCACAAATCCAAATGATCATCTCAGAACGTTCATTAATGGGATGACATTTTACTCATCCAGTGACCCTAGTGATGTGCAGAGCTTTTTCATTATCACTCAAGGGAGAGAGGCATTGGAATGATATAACACCCTTACCCCAAATACGGTGTGGACTGTTTTGCCATCGTAGAGTCTCTTTTCGGGAGACAATATGCTTGCAGTTGAGTGCAAGAATTAACGCACA